TTCGGTCGGAGATATCTTGCCAAATAAATTGTCTTCAGAAAACCCAGTTAACTTCAACACTGGTACCCCGGTTCGCTTCTAAGCACTGGCATCGACTATATCAGCTCGGGTCGCAACCGATAAAGATTAGTCCCATATGACCAAAACCCAGTTACCTTAACACTGGTAAACGATCCATTTCACTTTCAGTTCGGAAGTTGAAACGGTTCGGGAGAATTTAACTTTTTCACGTCACACTTACAAAAACCCAGTTATCTTAACACTGGTTCGCTATTCCGAAAGTTAACTTCTGCGGAACCGAAACTCATTTTTACCAAAACCCAATTACATTGACATTGGTGTATAATTCGGTTCGGAAGTTAAAACGACTCGGAAAGGATTAATTTATCGATGATTAAACCTAGTTACTTAGCGTCAAGTACTTGAGAAAGAACATATATTCTGTGGATAAAGCCATCCAGGCATAAGTCTTTACAAAAGAAACTCGAAACATGAAACAAAAGAAAGAAAAACGCCTCCGACTTATTCGTCTCGCTCCTCGACATGCGCTGCCACGGGCGGCAGAAATGTGCCCGCCTGATCCGTAATGCCAATCCCCGCGGCAACTCCCTCGATTGATCTGTTTCTGAAATTATCTTTAACAGAATCTGGAGAAGCCGGAGGAAGCCTCAGATCCTCTCGCAGCTCGGTTCCAATCCGCACGAACTCTTCCTCGGCATCTCCGTACTCCGCTTTCCATTGGAGCACTTCCTCCTTCTCATCTTCGACGTTTTTGCCGCCTTCAAGATCGGCAATCAATTCGGCATTAGTCCTAGCCTGGACCAGGAACATGTAGCGCTCGGACGCCTTCCCGAACAGGTCCATCTTCGCCTCTATCGCCTCAATCTTCTTGGCGAACTCCTTCTTAGCCGCTTTCCTCTCCCGACCTACTTCCTTCTCCCGAAGAGACTTCTCCTCGGTGAATAGTCAGTTCAAGCGTTCGACTTCAGCCTCCAACTTCCGACGAAGGCGAAGACCATCCTCGGCCGTCTTTAATCGCTCGACCTTCTCTGCTTTGGCCAACGCTTCGGCTTTCCGCCTGGCCTCATCTGCCTCGGCAATCATGGTCGCCGCCTCGGCAATCTTGGCCTCAGCCTCGGCACTCTTGGCATCTGCCTCGACTATCCTGGCATTCGCCTCAGCAATCCTGACCTCCGCCTCGGCTCGTATTTCCGGTTCGAAGAGTCGTAGGCTCGAACCATGCTGTTCATCGAATGAAAAGCCTGGGACGCAAAAATTTAAGTTAGTACCAAGAATTCTAAAGTTTAAAAGACCGAGGATGCCTCGGAAATGAACCAATACCTTCAGGAATCCCGCAGCGGTTTCGCGGTAGTTTTGAGCCTCCAACAAGGCCTCGGAAGCAGGCAGTGGTGGACCCGAGCAAGAAGCGACAAAATTCGCCGACGCGATCTTGTCCTTGTACACTGGAGTTTCCCTACGACTCCTCTTCTCCTTCCTGGAAACTCCCGAGCCGTCACTTCGGGGTCTTTTTCCCCTAGTTTTGGGTTTCGCCTCGGCGGCTGGAGCAGCAATAACCAGAGCCCCTACCATCTCGGGGACATCGGCCACCTCGGGCATGATTGAAGTCATGTCCCGAGCTTCATTAGTCACCTCGGCACCAACGACGACCTCAAGGCTGGCCTCGGAAGGAGTAGGAGGTCTGAAATTTGCCTCCAAAACAGCTCTTTCCTTAGCCGCCTTCTTTTCGGCAGCTTTCCTGGCTCTCAGAGACTGCGCGGCGCCCTGCATCTCGATAAGATGATCTAGGCGATGATCGGACGATTCGGAAGAGGATTGACAAGGAGCTCCGTGCAGTAGACGCAAGGCTCTCTCAATTCTTTCCTGGGAGAAGTGTTTTGTCCAATCGCACTTCCGAGCAATCAGTTCGTCGTGGAGATCTAGAAATCCTTCGGGAACGTCTTCGAGAAACAGCGGGTTCCGATCTGCATGAATAAGAAAAACGGTCAGGAAAAAAAGGTTAAAGCAAAACGAAACAGCAAATACGGCTTCGGGCATAGTACCGATTTGTCTCCATTTCCGACAATTTTCCCTAAGTAGTCCTCGTGGACACTATACTCATTCAAAGCTACGTAGAAGAAGTTATCGGTGTACTTCTCATCCTTGCTCGGGAAACCACCGATAACCCTCCTATTTGGCCTCGGAGATATGTAGAATCTCTCAATGGGGCCTGGTATGCGCCGGATCTCCAGGAGATTCCTCAAGTGGCTAAGGCCGACAATATTGACCGTCTCAATACTTCGGACTAGAATCCCCACTAGATGCCGCAGGCCTCGGGTCGTTATCTGGGATAGAGCAATCTTGTACGACCACAGAAACGCCAAAATCGGCCTCGGGATTGGAAGCCAAAGATAGCAATGGTAGAAAAACCCCTCATAAAGGGTGAAAAACCCCTCGGGCGGATCGTCTGCTCGCTCATTCGGAGTTGGAAGTCTTAGTTCAATCCCCTCGCTAAAACCGAACCGGGCCTTGAGATCCCGAAGGGAGTCTTCCGTGCATAAGGTGGAACCCGGGGGATCGGGTTTCCTAGCTTTCTTGGCTCGTTTTCTCTTCTGTTGACCCTTGGCTGCTTGGACTTTAGCTTGAAGCAACCTGGCCGCCTCGTCAGAGTCATAATGAACCTCCTCGGCCTTAATAGGAAGAAGAGACGCCTCGGGGGCATTTCGCCAGCGTGAGACTCCAGCTTCACCAACTGCCGGTGGATGTATCCCCCTCCTATTCAAAATCGCCTCGGGATCGTCAGGCAAATCCTGATCCCGAGCCACATTTGCAATCGCGTCTTCCCGAACGATGAAACGGCTCGGGCCTTCTTCCTGTGAAGCCGACTCTGCATCACTACCACGGTACAACACGATCTGATGGTCCGTGGTATCCGCCTCGGGGTCGCTCGAAGAACTCCAGACCATCTTTCTCTTGTAGACAGGGAGATGAGTGTCACCTCGGGGCGAATCACTGGAATCAGAGAGAGACATTTTCTGGCCTGGGGGATTGAAGAAGTTGATCGGAGGAACAAAGTTCGACAGATCGGAGAAATCAACTTAGGTCTAATGACGGTGGCGCTACGACAGAAGTATAACGGAAAAAGTAGAAAATGCAAGAACTCAAGATCAGAGAGAAGAGAACGAACCTTGAAAATTTTCCTTTGCAATTGCGAAATGAGAAAAAAAAGTCGGAGGCTTAACATTTATAGAGATTTAGGGCGCGTCGGGTACGAACGAGACAAATAAAACACATCGTATCCGCGATTAAGGCGCGTCGGGTACGCACGAATTGAGTAGGATACTTTGCATCCGCATGAATCTCGGGAATCAGCGAAAAGACCTTTCCACTTCTCGAGAAGGAATCCCAACCGTCACACGCCAAGAGTAGATGAAACGACAGGAATTCGAATCGCCAAAAAACTTTAAAGGGACCGAACTGTCCAAAGTAAACGGCTCGGCCTGATTGTCATAGAGCTCGTCACGCTTGGTTCCCCAAACTAACGAGCTGGGGGGCTAACTGTTGGGGTCGGATTCCATCCTTTGGCGCCGAGCCAGACTTAGAACACCTCGGGAGCTTTACAGAGATCACCTCGGGATATCGCATCATCCACCTCGGGTTATCCACATAATCGATTTAGACCCGAGCCTATCGCCTCGGGGATACCTGAACAAGACATCTCAAGTACCCGAGCCCAATTGCCTCGGGGGTACCTGAGCCAGTTGTCTCGGAAGTACTCGAGCCCAATCGCCTCGGAGCGCCCGAGCCCGTCGCCTCGGGATACTCAGATAAGCCATCCTAGAGTGCCCGAGCCAGTCCTTCCTGTGTACCCGAGCCAGCTCTTCAACCGCCCGAACCGGTTCACGCCAAGGTACCCGAGCCGATCCTTCCTGTGCACCCGAGCTGATTGCATAAGTTCTCCAGGGCGAAGTATTCGTCATCACCCGAAGCAAAGACTTAGTAAATATTCTTCTTCAAAAGTATCATTTCCAAGCAAGTTATCATTTCCGAAAAAGAAGGATCATTTCCGATAAACTCGGAAATGATAAAGAAGAATCGCGAAGGATCGGCTCAAATCAGGAAGTCTTCCAAAAACTCCGAAGAATAAGGAAATTATCCTAATCCACGATATTCTGGCCGACTTCAAGATAAATGGAAATCTTCCGAGAATATCGCTGGAGAGGCGGTTTATCATCCCTATATAAACAGATTCAAGGCTCAAACGAAGGGGCAAGCAATATCGCTCTAGAATTTACACTACGCAAAGCTCTCACAGCACAAACATCTTTTTCCTTTTACGATCAAACTCTTGTACGATCAAAGTCATCTTTATCTTAATAATACCAAGAACACCATCTTTGGTTACAATCGTTTCTGTTGTTCTTTGAGAATTCACGATTATCGTATCCCTAAAATAAAACCCTAGACAAATCTTGATTGTGTTAGTTTCGACTTCCGCACAGATGCTTCCATGGGGAAACATGGAAGTGAAACCGTCGGGATGCAAACTGATTCGACAGAGGAAGCAGCAGTTGATGCTTCCGAGAGTCAACCAGGAAACGAAAGCGTCGAGTTGGAAAGGGATGATGCTGAAGGACAAGTAGCAGTTGATGATTCCGATATTCAACTTGGAAAAGAGAGTCTGATAGAAGCAGTAGAGGCTGCAGAGGAGGAACTCGTGGGTGCATCAGAGGAAGAGGAAGAGACCGTTACTGCTCAAGTATACATTAGTTTGAGAATGGATTAATGGTATTCAAGGTACAACTAGTTCAACTAGTGAATTAGGTTGTCTTTGAATATGAGTATATATACTTTTGATGCTAGTTCTTGGTATAATTGAAGCGGAGAATATATAGGTTTGAATTTATGTGTCTTGATACAACTAGTTCAACTTATCCCGATTATATACTTGTTTGAATTGTGTGTTTTGAGACAAGTAGTTCAACAACTTAAACTCAACGATTATGTTTTGAATATGCAGGATACATATGAGGAAGAGGATGATGCTGCTGGTAATGCTAGTGAAGAGGATGAGCATGGTGATGTTGGTACTGGTAAAGATGATATAGAGGCTGAAGAGGATGTTGGTATAGAGGAAGAGGCTGCTGCTAAAGATGGTATAGAGGAGGAGGCTGCTGAAGCTAGTAAGGACGTTGCTGGTATAACAGCTGATGATGATTATGGTAATGATGATGATGAAGATGATTCCCAGCCACTTCCGCCAGAGAAGATGTGCTTAGATAGTTCAGAATACACCAAAGGGTGTAAAATAGGAACTAGGTGTAAAGTGACTGAGACAGTGAAGTTGATTGAGAAAGAGTTTAAAGACGAGGCAATATGGTTCAGAAGTCACTCTCAGTTCAAGCATGTATTCCACATGCCTAGGGAGCCAAACCACATGACTCAAGGCATGTGGATGCTTATGCTGCGCACAGTTGACACAGATCTTGAGAGGGAGTGCTGGTTTGTGGTTAATGGAGTACCTATTAGGTACTCCATCAAAGAGCATGCGTTGCTAACTGGGTTTAATTGCAAGGAATACCCGGAGAAGCATGAGGAAATGGGGAATTTGAGGTTTGTGAAGAGAATCTTCAAAAGGACTGAGAAGATAAAGGCATCTGATGTATTAGCTAAGTTGAAGGAAAAGAAGAGTTGGAAAGGAGCTGATAAGAAGAAGTTAGTAGTCTTGTATTTCCTATGCAAGATACTAAAAGCAAGCTCAAAAAGTGATGGAAACATAGAATCCTTTCTCTTAAGGATTATTGATGATTTGGATGCATGTGAGACATATCCATGGGGCAGGTATTCATTCTCAGAATGTATGAAAGGGATCTGGAATATGATGAAGAATTTGAATGGGTCTGTCAAACCTAAAGTTCAACCTAGCTTTAGTGGATTCATTGTACCTCTGGAGGTAATCCTTTGTTTTTGATGTCTGAGTATTTGAAGTTGTATATATGGTTTTATGATATTAACTGTGTGTGTTTTTTTTGTAGATTCTGGCTTATGAGGCTATTCCACATCTTGGACTGAAATATAGAGTACATGTACGTGCAGCAAATGACTGTCCAAGGATGTGCAAGTACAAGTTTAAAGAATCTGCCATGAAAGGTATCCCTTTGGAAGAAATATATCAAGAGCTTGGGACTAGCAAGGTTAGAGTTTCTGTCTTTATTTTATTATTTGGTTTGTGTCATGTATTTGATAAAGAGTCTAAGTTAAATGTATGTGTGTGTATGCACAGGATATTGACAGCATATTGGTACCAGACCAATATGAAAAATCTCTGTTGGCTGGAATCATTGAAGATAATGTTGATGATGGCCTAGGGCAGATTGATATCATTGTTGACAGTTGGAGAGAGCGTCTAGTAGAAAAGAAGAAAAAGATATGGTGGGAAGGAATGTATCAGCTGGACCAGGCGTCCCGAGAGATTGGAAATAAGTTTCTTGAGAATGAAGACCTTGAGCAAGAAGTCCCTGAGCAAGAAGTCCCTGAGAAAGAGAGTTCTGATATTGCTAACCTTGTTGCATCTATAAACTCACTAACAGAAGTGGTGAACAATGGCTTTCAAACCATGAAGGAGAAGTTTAGTGACATGGAGAATAGAGTGAAGGCTCTTGAAGTTTCTGTGGCATCCCAGGGTCCGGCGTTTACGCCATATGGGTCGCCTATGGAACCACAATGTGGGACAAGATATGATTTTGAGGGTGGGCAGCCGAGTCAACCGAGTCAAACCATGAATTTGGTTTTGTATAATCCCATTTCTCCAACTGTTCCAGAACAAGGTGAGTGTAGAAGTTTCTTGGTTAATTCCTGAACTTTTAAAATGGACTAATAAACTGTTTTCTTTGTACATTGTATGAAGGTGATGAGGAGGAGAAAAAGAATGAGGAAGAGATGAAAGGAAAAGAGAAGAAGAAGGGCAAGAAGACAAAGAAGAGGAAGCAGCAAGAGGGTGGACCTGTAATAGCAACCGGACAGAAGCGAACAAGGGCAGCTTCCCAACATATTAAGACACCATTTGTGGAAGTGCAGCCGAAGAGAAGGAGAAAGAAGTAAGAACTATGGTTGATGTGTGCTGGTGGTGTAGGAAAAAACTAAAAAATCTTTTGGACACAATTATTTGTGTTTTGAACTAGTAGGAACTATTGTTGATGTTATTTTGGTTGTTTTTGGATTTACTACTAGTTATTTTGGTTGTTTTTGGATTTAGTTATTGTTGGTACAACTGGTCAAGTCAGTACAACTGCAGAGTCAGTACAACTGGTCAAGTCAGTACAACTACTGGTACAACTGTGTTGTGTTGGTACAACTGTGTTGTGTTGGTACAACTGGTCAAGACGGTACAACTGGTCAAGACGGTACAACTTCGTGGTACAACTATGTCAAAGCAAAGGCAATTTTGGAAATAAAACTTGGTCAAATACTTGTTAAACATTTAGCAATTATGTTTTACACAAATTACAGAAATAAAACTTTGTCACTAGTTCAAACTTAAGAAACTAATAGGAAATAAAGGAGATTAGTCTACATAGGGTTATTACAAACATAAGAAGTCTACAAAGATTTAGAGAAATACATAAATACATAAGTGGTTATTACTACCACTTAGATAGCAAGTCCTTCAGCCTACCAATCTCCGTTTCTTTCTCCACTGCTCGCTTCTGAAGATCTTCGATTTGAGCACGCATATCCCGTATGGATTGACGAATTGACTCCAACATAGGATTTTGGTAAGCGTGGTGGATTGCTTCTTTCTGAGTTTCAAGTTTGGTATGTATCACACGAAACCCCTCATCAACTGCATGATCCCACCACTTATGCAAGTGTTCTCCACCATCCTAAACATAAGACAACGAATAACATAGTCATTAGAACATAATTAATCATCACTATAATTACAAAAAAAATCTCTAAATACCTCAGAATTTGGACATTTGTATTCCTTTCTTCCTTGATTATCTCCAGTGGCACACACGACAAGCCTAACTAGGGTTCCACAGAAACAATATCTCGGAACCCCCCAATTACCGTCGGCTCTTGCCCAACTCATATCCTCACTCGGCTCCGATTCGGAGCTTTGAGTATAACTGATTGGCATTCTCACTGCAGAAAATCAAGAAGAATCGGAAATTTAAAAACCCTAGATAAAACCCTAGATCCAAATCCGAATCGACAAACCCAAACCCTAGATCTATGAAATACAAATCAAAAACGGATAACCCTAGATCTTATGGAATTACAAATCAAATAAGAAAACCCTTGATCCAAATCCGAATCGACAAACCCAAACCCTAGATCTAGGAATTAGAAAGCACCAACCTTGTTAGATAGGAGTCGTTCGCTGAAATCTCTGCTCTCGCCGTCGGGATCTCCGCTCTCGCCGCCGGGATCTCCGATCTCGCTCGCCGAAATGTGAAACTTTTCTGGGTTTCGCAAATGAGAGAGAGAGAGAAACTAGGTAAGAGAGAGAGAGACGGAACTTATAATAAAACCCTAGATCTATCTTCCTTTTCCTTTTAAAAGAATATCTAAAAACAAAAATAATTTTTAAAATAAATTGAGTTTGGCGGCTGTACCTTGTTTAATAGTATTAAATATGTGGGACCCATGATGGCTGAAAATACTCATAGTTGTCCAGTTGTACTATGAGATACATAGTTGGACTTTTAACACTTTTTCTTGTTTTAAGTTGGACTAGTATTTAAATAATTAATTATAAGTTGGAAAAATGATTATTCTGAATTATTTGGCATATCCAAAGGTTACATAATATTATATTTACCAAATCATTGTTTTCACGTCTTTCACTATGATTTAGGTTATCTTATAGTAAGTATCCCTTATACTAGAAGAGGTTGTTTGTGTGAGAACATCATTTTCCATAGATTTTTTTAAAAAAGTTGTATTCAATGTTTAAGATTTCTTTAAAAGTTAATTCTATTATGATTCTATTATATAATTATTCTTTATTTCATTATTTTTATAAAAAATATTGTTTTATAATATTATCGTAGTTGTACAAGTTGTACAAGTTGAACCAGTTCAATAGTTAATGCACAACTTATGGAACATATTGAAACTTACTTGTAATAGCTGAACTCAGTATATAAACGAATACAAATACAACTTAAAACAAACAGACATGTTCTTAGCTGAACTCAGTTGAACTAGCTGAATTGTTAATGCACAAACGAGACACAGACATGTTCTTAGCTGAACCCAGTTGAACCAGCTAAATTGTTAATGCACATGCGATAAATACAAGTAAAACACATAAACTCAAGTTAACCATTCTCATCATTGGGAGGGGGCTGCAACCAACTCTCCAAGTTAATACCAGGTTGTGCCTTGTTTTGGGTCCTCTTTCGTCGCTTTTCCCCGGTGGATGGAAACCGGGTTTCTTGATTTCTACCTTTCTTTGGTTTGTAATCCGGCGGTTTTGCGATCTTCTCCTCGTAGTCAGCCGGGAAAGTCCATTGAGACTCATGCGGCACAACATAAATCGTTTTGTAATATGCCAATGCCCACGTCTCGATCAAGTAATATTTCGAACAAAGACCATATATGCTTACTTCCGTTGTTCTCCATTCATTCCGACAATGCTTAATGGCTGCGGCTATACCATGGATGCAAGGGTACTTGTCTATATCAAAACATATACAAGTACAAGATTTCATATCCAAGTCCACCAAATATGTTAAACCATCAACTCCAATTACGCTATATTCGCGTCGGTAGCTGTTAAGCTCAGTGACCGTCAACATCGGATATGTAATATATTCTCCACAACATGCACCACCTGCGTTGTGTTCGATGCATTGGCAGAATCTTTTCGATGTTTGTTGAACCATTCAGAAAACTTCTCCAATATCGCATCAATCATCGGTAATAGATGGTACTTCCTTAATTCCTTAAACACAGCATTCATTGACTCTGCGGAGTTGCTAGTATCTATGTTGTACTTGTCTCCCTCAGCATGACTCCTAGCCCATTTTTCAACCCCAACAGAATTATCCAGATATTCAGCAGCTCTAGGATACCTTCTCCTAAAATCACCATACTGAATGTTGAACTCGGTCTTAGTATATACATGAGCGCATTCCTTGAATTTCTCAACACCTACGTCCTTGTCCCCAATCAACTTTGGCCTAAGGTTTTGGGACAAATGCCATATACAATGACCATGTGATGCGTTTGGAAACACATCCATCACTTCCTTGATGATGCTTTGATGTCTGTCGCTTATGAAAACCAAATCATCTTCATCCGGTACTACCTTTCTCAGCATTCTAAAAAACCAATTCCAACTAGCATGATTCTCACTATCAATTACACCAAACGCAATGGGGTAATGGTGACGATTAGGATCCTGAGCTGTTGCAATAACTAACATCCCACCATATACAGTTTTCAGAAAAGTTGCATCAATCACTAACACTTTCCTCATTGCCTTAAACCCTTCAATACTTGCTCCTAAAGCGATAAATAAGTACTTGAACCTCTCTTCTGCATCCAATTCCACTTCCGTTACTGTCCCAAGATTCACCTCTCTCAACACGTGGAGATAAGCATACAACATCGTGTAGCAAACTTCAGGGTTCCCACGCATATCACTAACATGTTGTTTTTTCCCTCTCAAGGCAGTGGAGTAGGAACAATCCAAACCAAGTCTTCCTTTAACAAGAGTCATGATGGTTTTAGGATCCGGTGTTTTCAATTGACCACGGAAGTCCTCATGCAAAACACTTGCTACTAATCGTGGTGTGCCTTTTTGTTTAAAATATCTAGTACTCTCCTCACACCTAGAGCATGTATACATATTTTTGTGAACTCTTACACTCCAAAAATCAGATTTCTTTATTCTAGCAACTCTTAAATACCATTCACAACCCATGGAAGCTTGACTGCATTCAATCATAAGTCGCACCGGGTCCGACTTCACACATCTCACACCAAACAACTCGGCCTTTGCAGCTCTATTAACCAAATCCCATACTGCCTCCTTAGAAGGAAATTCTTGATCTTTTTCCAAAACCAAACCATCTTCCCATTCTTTAACTGTTTCCTCACTTGGTTGTACAGGCCGTGAAAGCTCAACATATTCATGCCTAACATCATTCTCACAATCTTCATTTACACCATTCTCTATCATGAGCTGTTCAAAAATCGGTTCATTAACTATAGCAGGCTCTTTCTCTTGTTCTGATCCTTCACCCCATCTAAAAGTACTCAAGTTTGCTTGATTATTTACATCATCAGTCCTTACATCATCAGCTCTTACATCATTGGCAGCCACTTCCCCATAATTCAAACCGCATGAACTTCTTCTTTATACTCTTGGTGCTAGCTCCACCATCTGATTACTTTCAAGATTGCATAACTCCACATGCAAAACTGGTCTAAATCCCTCTTTATCCAATGATGTTAAGAATATACAAACATCCTCATCATCTAAAATATAAGACTCTCTCCTTCCTTAACTCAATTTCATCTTCCTTCTCTCTCCGTCTATAGCAATCTTCTTACAGATCTTATCTACTAACACCGGATATGTTATTCTCTCCAAAGATGTTGTCTTAAACATTATAGCATATAGTGAATTGTTGCAATTCCACACATGCTCTTCTGAATAGTACCCTTCATAGTCAAAATATATGTTTGTGTGGATCTTCTTCTTCATCGCACTGCAGATAGAACAAAATTAATCACTAATTTCGATACAGCACTTGTAACAGTTATACCAATTGTACCAGTCGAACTACACTATCATATATGTACCAGTTGTATTATTCAATTTCAGTTGTACCATTACCTTCTCCAACAAACGATACAAAGGAGGAGCTACATTCTAATTTCCCTCAGATTCAACACGATTGGACTCATAAATCCTACTATCTAGAGATTTCTACACCTACCATTGCCAAACTCTACCATTCAAAATACCTAAACAAACAAATTTCAAAGCACTTACTTGGTTCAATCAAGATCCAACAATGGAGGAGAAGAAAGAAGGTCTTGTCCGTCGAAATGGATGAGTCGACGGCGAGGCTAAGAGGAGGAGCGGGAGTAGACGAAACAAATGACGAGCTCTCAAACTAGATCCAAC